AAATCCATGTTATTGTCAGAAATGTTCAATTCAGTTTAGTTATATACACGTCATCTCAAGTTCCTCAAATCATCCAGTCAAATTGATTCAAAGTTTTCTATGCAAGGAAAACCAGTTGATTGCATCGACTCATTGACTCGAAGGCAATCCCTCACACTAAGCATGCTTGTAGCGATAGTGGAGAGGAAAAACTCCCTTTGAACAGGAAGAAACCTCCAGCAGAACCAGGCTCAGTGTGAGCGGCCATCTGCTGAGGCCGACTGGGGTTCAAGGAGACAGAAGCAGAGATACAAAAGGCAAGTGTAAAAGGCATCCAGGAAACACGAGCTCCGAGCCAGCTCCAATGCCAGAGGATAAAGAGAGCACATCCAATTAGTCGCAGTCAGAGAAACAGGAATACACTAAAAAACAGGCAGAGCTCCAACATCTATAAACAAAGGTGTTGATGGCAGCAGCACAGCTGATATTTCTCTCCAGGATGGAGTCACAGCCAAACAGGAACAGACCAGATGAAGCTACTATGAGAAAAAGCAGAGAGAGCAGAACGTTGGAGATTGAACTAACAGATTCTGCAGAGTGGGAGAATAGAGATAGAATGAAGCAGAATGATGGAAAAAGGGGTCTCTATGTCCTCCAGCAGGCTAAGCCTATAGCAGCATAACTATAGAGATAGCTCAGGATAACCTGAGCCACTCTAACTATAAGCTTTATCAAAAAGGAAAGTTTTAAGCCTAGCCTTAAAAGTAGACAGGGTGTCTGCCTCACGGACTAAAACTGGTAGTTGGTTCCACAGGAGAGGAGCCTGATATCGAAAAGATCTGCTTTCCATTCTACTTTAAGAAATTCTAGAAACCACTAGTAAACCTGTAGATTGAGAGCGAAGTGCTCTGTTAGGAACAATCAGATCTCTGATATAAGAAATGTTAAACATCTTTGCAGACCCGAAAATGTTTAAAAGACAAAAACAAAAAGTGCGTGATTTATCAGAGGAGCCTTTTTTAAGATCCTCGGTTAGGCTGGCTGCATAGAGCCTGAGTGGACCCTGTTTTCTGCCTCTATTGTCACTGTGGAAGTAAGACCTGCAGTGGCGGTAACCCCAAAACCTGGTGGTGGCGACTGCTAGTAAGGGATGCAGTCAAGCTGAGGGAGTCCTATCAAGTGTGTTCCGCTGCAGGACCTTCAGAGAGCCAAGCTGTGTTTCACTAACACCGATTACAGTCGGAGCGGCGAGCTGCTGACCTATACTGAGGACATTGTTTAACGGTGGAGGAAATATTCTGGGGATCTCCCAATTGCCATTCCTTTCCTTGTGGAAGCAGATACAGGGTGCTTTTAGTTGGACTTGTTTATCACCCAAGCTGAAGTCACCAAGATGCCCAAAGAAAAATACAGTAGCAGCCATTCAAATTGGCCCTTCCTAGTTAAAAGCCAGCCCAATGGAAGCCAAACCCCCTCCAACTTCCAGCCACTGGCCTTCTCATGGGCGTGCATATTTCTTTTACTCTGACTCCACCCTTCCACTGAATTACAGGGTCTGACCAGGAGATGACGCTTCTCTTTAGATCTTAATGTCCACAAATCATGACAATATTTTAGACGTTTAAGAAGGAGTTGTAGGGGACCAGCCAAGGGCCCATCAAGGAAAGTGGGAAAATTTTGAATGACAAGGCTTCAGGGGTGAATGAAATCTGCCATGAGTACCTTACATTTGTAGATGTTGTTGGGCTGTTGTTTTTGACATGCCTGTCCAACATCAGGTGGAGATCTGGGACAGTGCCCATGGACTGGGAGACTGGCATGATGGTCCTCCTTCACAAGAGAGGTTGTGTTGTAAATATTAGGGGCATCACAGTCCTCAGCCTCCCAGGGAAGGCCTATGCCAGGGTGCTGGAGAGGAGAGTCCGACTGATTGTCGAACCTTGGCTTCAGGAGGAGAAGTGTGTATTGTTTTTTTGCCCCAGCACTGGGACACTGGACCAGTTCAACCAGCTTTACACCCTCTGCAGGCTGAGAGTTCATGGAAAATTACAAAATATCTCCACATTGTGGACCTGGAGAAGGCATTTTACCGTGGTGTCAGCCGACAGAATTGACATAGACTCCTGGATATATATCAAAACATCTAGAGAAACTGCAGTTGCTTTCCAATTTAAGTCTGTTTTGTGGTTGCTATGACCCTAGTACCTGAGAATTCACATAGCCATTTTACTATGTCCATCATGGTGCCCTGTAGGGGTGCTCTAGGAGTGCCTAGTTAGTGGCCTATTACCCCCTTTCCACTACCCTTGAAAAACCGTGCCGAGACCGGTCTGAGCTCAGTTACTGAGATAACTTATTAGGTGTAAATGGAAAGCAAACTGAACTGAACCGAGCTAGACACAACCCAACCGAGCTAACTGCAGACCAGTTCCAGAGGTGGGCTCGGCTTGGTTCTCAGATAACAAGAGCGCATGAGCAGAACGCGTCATCTCCGTCTGGCTGCACATCCCGATTCACACTCCATTCCAGTAGTTGGTGGTAATGCCCCTCCGGAAGTTGCTTGCCAACCAACACAAAACAGAAGAAGAACAACAACAACTATAAACAACAATTGAAATCTTCTCCATGCAACATTTTAAATAATGGCCATAAATTTATAAACACCGCCATATTGATTTGCCTGATTCCGTCCTTCGTCTTCTTCTTCTTGTGTTTTATGGCGGTTGGCAAACAACTTTTGGTGCATTACCGCCACCAGCTGCTTGATTTCCTCCTTCAATACTGGCAGTAATACCGCAGATCGTCACTAGGAGGCGAGGAGGCGAGGAACCAAGATAGCGTGATGTGTAAACGGTCGTCAGAACCGAGCTCGGCCTGGTTAACTGATCCGAGCTCGGACCGGTCTCGGCATGGATCGGTTTTTCAGGGGTAGTGTCAATGAGGTATTTGACTAGGGGCCATCCGGTCTCTGTTCTGAGGAAGCAGGAGTTTGGTCCTCATTGCCGACATCAAGTCGTACCTGTTGCCAGTGCATGGTAGACCCCAGCAGGGCTGGCATCCCTTACTGGTCCAGTCAGAACCTTTTTGGACAGCATTTCTAGATGTTGCCAAACGACCATGAAAAGATGGCTTTTTCCCTTTAGGTTGGAGGAGGGTTCTCAAGTAAAGAATTTCAGATATCATATGGTCCTTCTTATGATTAAGGGGAGAATGGAGTAGAGATAAATAGACGGATCGGAGCGTCTTTTGCTTTGATGCAAACACTACACAGGTCTGTTGCAATGAAGAGAGAGGTGGCTGAAAAGACAACCCTTTCAATTTACTGGTTGGTCTATGTTTCTACCTCCACTTATTGTCATTATATCTGGATCATGACTGAAAGAACAACATCATGGATACAAGCAACTGAAATGAGCTTTTTTAGCAGGGTGGCTGGGCTCTCCCTTAGAGATAGGGTGAGGCGTAGAGCTGAGAAAAGAATCGAGATTTATTCTCATATCAAAGAGTTTTTCTTAAGTAAGAAGGATCTACATTTGGATGGTTTGTAAAACATAGCTGGTCTAAATGGAATTAAAATAACCCTTTTTACAAATATTCAACATTTTTATCAAGTAAATTTGTTAAATAGATGAATAATTGATGGCCTCGTGGTCAGTTATGTTTTAGATTTATTCTAAATCTTTAATAACTGACCAACATTCATTCAGAAAATGTCAAAGAAAATAATAGAAACGTCTAAGTTCTAACAGTCAATCAAATACTCGTTTTGTTTGGTCTTTCCTGATTGGCTACAGTGATGATGATCACAAGCTCCTCCCATGGTTCAGATCAGAGAGCTGATTGGTGAGTTTTTCTGGCTTTTAAACTCAGATTCTATGTTTAATACAAGTTTCTTCACTTCAGAGGAATAAAAAGTAAATTCTTTAAGTGTTTGGGTGAGTTCTCTCATTTAAAATGGTATAATTGTTTGACAAAACACCCTGGAATCAGCTCTCCACCACTTTGAGAAGCTGCTCAGACTCTAAAAACGGATCAATAAAACTTTAGACAACCTGTTTCTATTTTTACCTCAGCTCCATCACACCTCATTAATAAATGGCAGTGTTTACATTCCTTCAACAAAAAGCTGGAGAACTGATCCATGCTGCCACTGTGTGGTGGCCCATGCCAGAATCCACTGAGCCCTGACAAGCTGGTTCCTGCTGTTACCTCCTCTCTAGAGCTGAATAGATCCCTGCTCCATATGGTTCCTGGTTCAGAACCTCCTGAAGGACCATAGATCACTGCTGTCCAAGTAAGGCTGCTCCCTGAAATTAATCTGATTCCTTGGATTTTTTCTGGATAATCTGCTCTGCAAATATTGAAACATCTAATCCACTCTCCCACATTTTAATGGAATCTTTCACAGCCTGGAAAACAGGAATTAATGCATTGAATAAAATAAAATCTGAAGGAGAAATTGTATGGTTTTCTTTTCCCTGTAGCGAAAAAAAAAAGTAGAACTGCACTCGTTTCCAGCTGATCTTACTGGACCGCCTGATTGGACTTCTCATCCCTGCAGGATAAATGATCATCACTTGGTGTTCACGGTCTGAAGGTTCTGGATCTGATATTATAGGACTCCAAGTCTGCATCTGTAACCATGGTAACCAACTCAACTAATTTAATCAAATACATATTTGAATTGATTTCCTCTCATCTGACCAGAATCAAGATTATACATGCAGGCTTAAATACATCTGTACAACCCCAGTAACTTCCAACATGGCTGTTCTTGACTTCTGTTAAATTATTGGTATATTACACTTTAAAAAAAAGTAGGATTGCTATTTGGGGCTTGGTGACATTTATATTTTAATGAGGATTTTAGTTAAAATCTTCACATCTATCATCAAAAAATAAAAAAAATAATTTTCTGAATTTTATTATTATTATTTTTTTTTTACATTCACCTAACAAATTTAACATTCCTTATTTATTTCTGGAATAGACTACTAAACATTGGTTCCGCTTCCTTGTTTCTAGTCGAGCACAAAATCCAGGGCGGAGCTGTGGCGCTTGCCACTTGGCACTGGTACCGGGCCGGACCGGGTGGGGTGGGTTTATTTCCCGGGTCCTGCTATTTGTTCTGATCTAACCCAAATAGAGGATTCTGGTTGCTTAATCGGGCCCAAAGGTTCTGATGGACCCGGCGCACAGAGCGGTGCTCCGGAGGTTCCGGGTGAAGCTGTCCGACCAGCTGCTGGTCACCGACACCATCCTTCCGTTTCTGTTCCAGGAGGGGATTCTGACGGTGGCCCAGGTCCAGCAGGTGGAGAGTCAGCCGACCGACAAGCAGAAGAACCTGAAGCTGTTGGACCTCCTGCCGAACCGCGGACCTCGAGCCTTTAGCGTCTTCTTGGACGCTCTGCGGGACTACAGCTGGATCCGGGAGCAGCTGGAACTGGAGCTGCGGAACACTTCCGGTGAAGGGTCACCAGGTGAGATCACACCCGGAGCTGAGAGCATGCCGCAGAACCGGGTCACCAGAATCGGGTCACCAGGCGACAGTTTTAAATCTAAATAACAGATTCAGGTCCCATTACTTAATTTAATAAATACAACAGAGTATTTGGCCAGGCTAGAGTTTTTTTTTCTTCTATTACATAAAATTAGAATACGACTTTATTCTCGTAATTTTACGACACCAATTCTCATAATGTTACGACTTTATTCTCGTAATGTTACGACTTTATTCTCGTAATGTTACGACTTTATTCTCGTAATTTTATGACTTTATTCTCGTAATTTTACGACACCATTCTCTTAATTTTAAGACTTTATTCTCGTAATTTTACGACTTTATTGTCATAATGTTACGACTTTATTCTCATAATTTTACGACTTTATTGTCGTAATGTTACGACTTCATTTTCGTAATCTTACTTTATTCTCATAATTTTACGACACCATTCTCTTAATTTTAAGACTTTATTATCGTAATTTTACGACTTTATTCTCGTAATGGTACGACTTTATTCTTGTAATTTTATGACTTTATACTCTTAATCTTACGACTTTATTCTCGTAATCTTACGACTTTATTCTCGTAATCTTACGACTTTATTCTCGTAATCTTACGACTTTATTCTTGTAATCTAACGACTTTATTTTTGTAATTTTAGAACAATTCTCGTTGCGACATTAGTCTCGTAATTTCTCGACTTTATTCTCGGAATCTTACGAATTTATTCTCGTAATTTTATGACTTTATTCTCATAATTTTACGACACCATTCTCGTCATTTAGACTTAATTCTCGTCATTTTACGACTTTATTCTCGTAATCTTACGACTTTATTCTTGTAATTTTGCGACTTTATACTCGTAATCTTACGACTTCTCGTAATCTTACGACTTTATTCTAATAATTTTATGACCTTATTCTAGTAATTTTCTGACTTTATCCTCGTAATCTTAAGACTTTATTCACGTAATTTTACGCTTTTATTCTTGTAATCTTGCGACTTTATTCTCGTAACTTATGACTTTATTCTCGTAATTTTACGACTTTATTCTCTTAATTTTACGACTTTATTTTCGTAATCTTACAACTTTAGTCTTGTAATCTTACGCCTTTATTCTCATAATTTTACGAATTTATTCTCGTAATTTTACAAATTTATTCTCTTAATTTTACAACTTTACAACTTCTCGTAATTTACGACTTTATTCTGATAATCTTATGACTGTACTCGCGTAATTTTATAACAGTTCTCGGTACCACTTTATTCTCATAATTTTACGACACCATTTTATTAATTTTACGACTTTATTCTCATAATTTTTTAAGAATTCTCGTTGCGACCTTATTCTCGTAATTTTACCACTTAATTCTCGTAATTTTATAACAATTCTCGCTGCGACTTTATATAGAAGAAAAAAATCTCTAGCCTGGCCGTAATAGTCTGTTGTAAATAAAGATTAAATCAAGAATTAAGAAAAGTTAAATTGAAGTTAATTTATTTACCTTTATTAATTGTTATTTTGTTATACTTTGAATTTTGGACGTCGATCATTTGTACAAAAAATATGTATTATTTTCAAAAAGCAATAAAACATAAAAAAATTAATTGAAAACAGTAAAAAAAAAATTTGACTTTTTTTAAACCTTAAATCTGATTAAAATTACTATACTTAATTTGAGAGGCCTAATCATAATTTTCCAATCTTTATGTTTGTAATCAATGGATGAAATTAATCTCTACATTTTAAAAGCTATAATTAGGTTTTAAACCTTTTATATTTATGTGTAAAACTTAATGAGGTCTAAAGATTTAGATTTGTTTTCAAACATATCTTTCTTTTTCAACCTATACAGGAAAAGCTTTGTACAAAAGCATAAAAGCTTCTTATACTAAACTAACAAGATGAACAAACTAACTGCCACAACGACAGCAACAAAAACCCCAAGAAAAAAAAAAAAAAAGTCAATAAATAAACCAAAATCAGGAAAACTTCTTATAGCACAATTTACATGAATTAAACAATTGAAAATAAAAGCAGATAAATATAAAAGCAGGTAATAAAACACATAGAACAATTGAATCACAACCTTAATCTAATAATACCTCAGTTAACACTTTAACAGTCAAATGCAGCACTAAACAAATTGGTTTTTCACTTTGATTTGGAAGAACTCAGATTTATAAAATAGAACTTTATAAATAATTTTCAAAATAAATGACTGAAAAAAAATTAGGCTTTTTTGTCTGATTATAATTTCAAATCAATTTTAAGTTTTTGTCACAATCTAAAATGAATTTATTCCATATTTTTTGGTTCCTATTTGAGATTAATCTCGCATGAATTAGAATTTATCCTCAGACAGATGGGTCTGGTTTGTTCTCAGAGACGAGCCCGGATCGGATCGGTCCAATCGCATATGCAGACTCGGGGTTCATGATTTAGGGTTCCAAACAGGAAATGATCCAAACGTCTCAAAGATCCTGAAACGAGTCAGATGAAGGAGCAGAATCCGGTTACTCCTTAAAGAGGGACGGAGATGAGCTCTGAGTGTCGGAGGTCGGAAGGACTCCTCATCTTCATCCTAATCTTTAGGTTTCTCTGTCAGATTAAAGTCCGGACTTTGACTGGGCCGCTCCAGAACTCTGGAGGAGACTCAGATCCAGGTCGGTTCTGTTTGACACCATGTGGTGAAAGGGATTCTAAGGAAGCCTGAAGGAGTGTGATTGGATCAGAACCAAGCTGTAGCTTCGAATCCAGATGATTTCAAACAGTTTAAAGAATTTTTTTCATTTTTTTTAAACCTGTTAATTAATTCTGCTCCCTCAGAACCAGAGGAAAATAGTTCTGACGACACTAAGTTCTGGTTTGGGGTTAATGATGGATTTTTATTCTTAAAGTGATGCTAAGTTCAGAGGTAAACAATGACCCGGTTCCGTAGTTACTCCTTCAAGTAGGGACCTGTCTGCCTCACACCTGAAGGTTCTAAAGATCCGATCTGAAAACCTGGAGCTAATCTGCAGCGGTAAGCCGAGTCCAGCGGGTCGGGGGTTAAAGGCTTTCCTGGAAATCTTCTTCTGTGGAAACCCCAGAGTTCCTGGAAAACGTTCTGACCCGTGTAAACCCAGCTGGCGGAACCATTAATGAGGAGATGATCCCGAGTTTTCTGCTGGAGAGCTTCTGCTAATCATTAAGGAGTGGTTCTGGTTCTGGATGATCAATGAAATAAAAAGTTTCATGTTTCATTAAAAAGCTCCTGATCAACATTTTATTTATTTTTAACAAAAAACGGATCAGATCTGTTCTAGTTTCCCCGAACTGGTGGATCTGGGTCACATCCATCTGCTGCCAGATCCAGGAACAGAACCACAGATCCGATTCCCTCACACAGAACATTCAGCGGGACTGAAAGGTTCAGAGAGTGAATAGGATTAACTGGGATCATGTGAGGAGCACGCTCCGAACATCCTGCTGCTGCTGCTGGTTCCTGGAAAACAGGAGGAAGAGGAAGATTGGAACCAAATCAAACATCTGAACTGGATCTCCAGAATCCCATCAGAACCAGTCAGCTGCTTCCCAGGAAAACTGGGCTCCAGCTCCCACCAAGTTAGCAGGAATTCTGCCTTCCAGTCTCCTTCCTGTTTGCTGAAGCTGACCCACTTTTCCTGGGATTTCCTAAACATTAGAGTGAAACTCCCAGGAAAAGCTTCATTAGGAACCTCGTCCTGTTGCTCCATCTCGCCAGACTTTTTGAACTGATGGTAGAACCACCAATCTCCTCCAGCTGATGATCCAGATGTTTCCCTACAGCTGGGATTCCTAAAGAGGCGCTCCGGAGCAGAAGGAACCGGTTTGTTTGAGGAATGAAAGCAGGAATGTTAACAGAAGATCTGAGGAAAAACAAAACAAAGACACGTTTTCTCTGCTTTAAAGGAAAAGGCCGCTCATATTCAGAATGCAAATTTGAAAGTACTTTAAATATGAAATTATTACATCCTGTTCAATAAATGATCAGTGTTTTTAATTCAGAGTAATTTTCATTTGAATGTGCTTTACTGGAGGCATCCATGTTTGTCGAAGAACACTACTGCCACCTACTGGTTTGTGACGTCACGGTGCGGTATCGGCTGTTGATCAAGTCCCAGTGCTGTATCTGGTGTTTGTCACAACGCGCTATTATCCAAGTCATCTTGGAAACATTCTTCTTCCAAATGTTGGCTACAGATTACGTGTTTTTTCTCTGGCCAGAAGTTCAATGGCGAATCCTCCCTCTTCAAGTTGGCGATCCAACGACCAACCCGTCCGTGGAGGATCAGGAATCAGAAATATTGAATAACTCTTTTTTTTTTTTCAGTTTTAACCGATGTATTCCAGCATCCAGCTGCCATACACGTGGGCATTGTCAGTTTCACTATAGCTCTGGTGAATTTCAATGGTGAAGTCCTCTGGAAATCTTCAATAATTGTTGTTGATTGCAGATGTGTCTAGTAGTTCCCATTAATTCTGCTTGTAAAGCGGGGAGAATGGCGCTAGGCTTACCGCACCGTGACGTCACTGCTGGAAGATGGCAGGAGGGAGGGGCTACTATATTTGGGCAAAAATGATCGCAACGGTAGTTGTTGTTTTTATTTTTTCTTACTGATTAACACTAAATTCATTAAATTATCGCAAACGTATTAGTTTTAGGTATAAATAATGATCCATTGATTATTCCTTGCTGACCGGACTTTTCCTTTAATAGAACCTTTGCTTCTGGTAGGATGAATGACTGTTCTATTACAGTCTCTAGAAGAATTATAATCCAAATTTTTGGTCAGACTAGGAGTTCTACTGGTGGCTCTGGTTCTAAGGACCAAGTGGAGTTGGCCAGCTTCTGTGATACCACCCGGGTCTGACTAATACCACAAGAACCACCAGTATCTGTGGCACAGAGGGAATTCTATTCAATTCAGTTTATTTCTATAGCGCCAATTCACAACACATGTCATCTAAAGGCACTTTATAGTTCACCAGATCATCCAGTCAGATTAGTTCAAAGTTTTCTATCTAAGGAAAACCAGTTGATTGCATCGACTCATTGACTTGAATGCAATCCCTCACTCTAAGCATGCTTGTAGCGACAGTGGAGAGGAAAAAACTCCCTTTTAACAGGAAGAAACCTCCAGCAGAACCAGGCTCAGTGTGAGCGGCCATCTGCTGAGTTCGACTGGGGTTCAAGGAGACAGAAGCAGAGATACAGGCTGTGACCCAGGGCAGCATTGCCGAGGTGAGGCTCTAATGTCCTGAAGGGGCTCGATTTCCTTTTTAAAGACTTTGTTGAAAAGTTGGCGCCCCCTTGTGTTCACTTAGCATCCTCTGTTTGTTGCTAGCATCAGCCGAAGCAGAGGTGGCTGATTCAGGCTGCATTGGGAAAAACACCTGGTTTCCATCTTTCAGGACAAAAGCAGGAATGTTCTGTTAAAACGCAGAGAAAATGGTTCCGTGTGTTGTGGAAATTAGAGTTAAAGATGTTTTTGTTGAAGCAGAACCAGATCAGTGCTAGCCCACTCATATCTAATAGGTCATTCAAGTCAAGGGTAAAACCAATCATTGATTATTAGTTGAATGATTATAACCGTAATTTGCTTACTCACCAGTGTTTTTAGTTTGTTACATAAAGGTTTGACTCCTGAATCCAGCTGTTTAAAATCCAGCTGCCTTCACCAATTTAATAATTTAGCTGATGGCTATCAGCTAATTTATTAATCACCAACCAAAGAAATGTGTATGTGGTCATTCGGCTGTTACTGAAAGAAGACTGAATCTGATCTGAGTGATAAATCATTCACTGCATAAAATAAATACAAAAGACCACAGTTATTAGCCTTTATTAGCCAATAATCCCATCACAGTTTTATTATATCTAATATCTATGCAGACACTAAACACTACTGAAAATAAGCAAAAGTAAATAAACAAATAAAAGAATAAGGAGCTTTTAAGAGTCTCTGAGGAATGTTCAATGTTTCATTAATTTAAGGTGTCCTTTAAAATCGCAGAAGATGAATGTGAAAAAAAAACTGATGCAGAGAAATTAAATGCAATAAAAAAAGTGAAGTTTTATTCGGTTAACAGTAAGAAATGAGCAGTGACTCAGAAATGCATTAAAACGCAGCCTTCCCTGCTGCAGCGTTCCTTGCTGCAGCGTTCCCTGCTGCAGAGTACCCTGCTGCAGCGTTCCCTGCTGCAGCGTTCCTTGCTGCAGCGTTCCCTGCTGCAGAGTACCCTGCTGCAGCGTTCCCTGCTGCAGTGTTCCCTGCTGCAGCGTTCCCTGCTGCAGAGTTCCCTGCTGCAGAGTTCCCTGCTGCAGCGTTCCCTGCTGCAGCGTTCCCTGCTGCAGCGTTCCCTGCTGCAGCGTTCCCTGCTGCAGCGTTCCCTGCTGCAGCGTTCCCTGCTGCAGAGTACCCTGCTGCAGCGTTCCCTGCTCCCTGCTGCAGCGTTCCCTGCTGCAGCGTACCCTGCTGCAGCGTTCCCTGCTGCAGCGTTCCCTGCTGCAGCGTTCCCTGCTGCAGCGTTCCCTGCTGCAGCGTTCCCTGCTGCAGCGTTCCCTGCTGCAGAGTACCCTGCTGCAGCGTTCCCTGCTCCCTGCTGCAGCGTTCCCTGCTGCAGAGTACCCTGCTGCAGCGTTCCCTGCTGCAGAGTACCCTGCTGCAGCGTTCCCTGCTGCAGCGTTCCCTGCTGCAGCGTTCCCTGCTGCAGAGTTCCCTGCTGCAGCGTTCCCTGCTGCAGCGTTCCCTGCTGCAGAGTCCCCTGCTGCAGCGTCCCCTGCTGCAGCGTCCCCTGCTGCAGAGTTCCATGTAGAGCACTCAGCAGTTCCCTGTAGAGTTTTCAGCAGTGTTCCCTGCTGCAGCGTTCCCTGCTGCAGCGTTCCCTGCTCCAGCGTTCCCTGCTGCAGCATTCCCTACTCCAGTGTTCCCTGCTGCAGGGCTCCCTGCTGCAGCGTTCCCTACTCCAGTGTTCCCTGCTGCAGGGCTCCCTGCTGCAGCGTTCCCTACTCCAGTGTTCCCTGCTGCAGGGCTCCCTGCTGCAGCGTTCCCTGCTCCAGCATTCCCTGCTGCAGCATTCCCTACAGAGTTCTCTACAGCATTTCTTCCAGCTGACCCATGTGTTCTCAGCATCGTCCATCAGCAATGGACGCTCAGCTGACAGTCGGCATGTAGCCTTTAGGCTCATTAGTTTCCATCCCCTCAGCATTATACATCCTCCACCGTGCTTTAATGTGGCCTTTGGCTGCTTTGGTCATTTTTTTCATAGCAGTCCCTCAAATGATGTGTTCTCTGCTTAGAATGGACCCAGACCTGGGCAGGGCCAGGACTTGGACTCATGCTGTTTGGGTTCCTCATGTAGAACCTGAACATCAGATTTTTACATTTTAGTAAAAAATGTATGCAAGTAAATCATTTTCTATAATCTCAACAAAAATTAAAGAATGAACATTTTTAGTTTGTTCACTAAGTCTGATTAAAGATTATTTTTTATTGTCTTAAGGTTTGGTCAAAGGTTCTGATAAAGTTCTAAAGACAGAATTAATAAAAGCATTTAGGTGACATTAAAATTGTAATGAAATTCAATATTTAGTCAACAAATTACAGAAGCTGATTTTCAGAAAAATGTGTAATAAAAAATAAATGTCCACAGATGACTCTGCTGCTCCTTACCGTTGCCACGGAGACGGCTGCCAGCTTCCTGACTCAGTCCTGCAGAAGGTTCCTTCGGATCAGGAGTTGTCCCGGCTGGCCTCAAGACTTGGCGCCGAGTGGGAGGAAGTTCTGTTGGACCTGGGTGTGTCTGCCGAAGCTCTGTACCGCTGCCGCTCCGATCACATCCTGAGCAGCCAGGCAGCGGCGCTGGCGGGCCTGGTTCTGTGGAGGCGGTCCGAGGGGAAGAAGGCTACGCTGGCGAGGCTGCTCCAGAGTCTGGAGACCGCCGACATCCATCCGTCTGTCCTGGAGGATGCTGTTATGAGATGAGGCTTCTACACTCCAGTCTGGGGTTAAAGGACTAAGAAACCAGCTGGGTTGGTCCATGATCGGACTGATGACGATTGCCATAAATTCACTAGATATTTAAATTTAAGTCAAATTACTTTATGTAAAGGAAGGAAGGTTCTGGGGTTTCATTTATAAAAATGAGTATGATCCATGGCAGAAGTGTACATATGCCAAAAAAAATCCTGTCATGGAGATGCACAAATCTGGATTTATAAACCATGCTGATGCACAAATTATGATAAACCACAGAGGTGAACAAATCCTGATTTATAAACTATGGAAAAGCACAAATCCTGATTTATAAACCATGGAAAAGCACAAATCCTGATTTATAAACCATGCTGATGCACAGATCCTGATTTATAAACCATGGAGGTGAACAAATACTGATTTATAAACCATGGAGGTGAACAAATCCTGATTTATAAAACGTATAGGTGAACAAATCCTGATTTATAAACCATGGAGGTTAACAAATCTGGATTTATAAACCGTATAGGTGAACAAATCCTGATTTATAAACCATGGAGGTTAACAAATCCTGATTTATAAACCGTATAGGTGAACAAATCCTGATTTATAAACCATGGAGGTTAACAAATCTGGATTTATAAACCGTATAGGTGAACAAATCCTGATTTATAAACCATGGAGGTTAACAAATCTGGATTTATAAACCGTGTAGGTGAACAAATCCTGATTTATAAACCATGGAGGTGAACAAATCCTGATTTATAAACCGTATAGGTGAACAAATCCTGATTTATAAACCATGGAGGTTAACAAATCTGGATTTATAAACCGTATAGGTGAACAAATCCTGATTTATAAACCATGGAGGTTAACAAATCTGGATTTATAAACCGTAAAGGTGAACAAATCCTGATTTATAAACCATGGAGGTTAACTAATCTGGATTTATAAACCATATAGGTGAACAAATCCTGATTTATAAACCATGGAGGTGTTGTGTATTAATCTGCACTAATCATAAGA